TGAAGAGTGTGCCCGAGAAGTTAATTTCAGTATTACAATCCCTCTACAATAATAGCCGAAGCCGAGTTCGAGCTTACGGCACTTTTTCACCCGAGTTCACCACGGAAAGTGGTGTTTGTCAGGGTTGCCCTCTCTCTCCTTTTCTATTTAACTTTGTCATAGATTTAATTCTTGAAACAGCCCTATCCTCGTGCAGGGATAGCGGTATCGATTTACTTCCGGGTGGCAGACTGTCTGATCTAGAGTATGCAGACGTTGTGCTACTAAGTGACGATCCAGGTAAGTTGCAAGCTTTTCTGGATAGCTTGAGTGCTAGTGTTGCCATGTTCGGTATGCGTTTTGCACCTTCAAAGTGTAAAATGCTACTACAAGATTGGGTTGATCCAGCTCCCAGTCTCACCCTAACTGGGGAAGTAGGCACATTTTGCTATCTAGGCAGCTATATCTCACCCGGCGGACGCATCACAGATGAAGTGTCGGCGCGCATACAAAAGGCTCGATTGTCATTTGCCAACTTGAGACATTTGTGGCGCCGTCGCGACATCCGGCTGTCTGTGAAGGGTCGAGTGTATGCTGCAGCAGTTCGGCCAGCCCTGCTCTACGGTGCAGAGACTTGGCCACTAAAGGAACAGGGTAAAAACAGATTGTCGGTGTTCGAACACCGCTGTCTACGTAGCATTGCACGTGTCTGGTGGGATAACCGGACTAGCAATGCTGAGGTTAGGCGTAGAGTTTTAGGCAGTCGCGGTCGTCCACTAGAGCAAGTGATCGACCTCCATAGATTACGTTGGCTGGGACATGTGCTACGCATGTCACCAGGTAGGTTACCACGGCGAGCGATGTTCGCCGAAGAAGATACAGAGTGGAAAAAAGCCAAGGTTGGTTAAGTTAGGACCTGGCACGAGGGTATGAAAACCCTAACCAGGAAACTGGGTCACATAGGTCCTGTTAGGCTCCCTGGCTGGGGACCTCGGGATGATCGTAACCGATGGTTAGAGACACTGAGCGATATGGCTGGGTGTCGTAAACAGTGGCGTTCGTGCATCTCCTCAATTTCTTCCCAACCTTGGTCCACTGAACTTCTCCATTTTCTTTTCGAATCCACTTTCAACTTTCCTTTCTTCTCCTATTCTTCATCCCAATGGGCAGCCAAAAGACAGCAACCAAAACCGGCGCACGAAAGTGCATGATTAATGGTTGATCAAACTGAACTGAACTGAACTCTTCTCATCTGCCTAGTCCTTCTCAATCCCGAATATTCCCAGGTGCCTCCTGCTTACGAGACCCATCGCATATCACTCAGCGCTCAACCACTCACAGGCTATCAGATTTTTGAAACCAAAATCTCCTTTCCACTTAGGCGCCCTTAACGTCCGCACACTCTACCAGATCGGTCAACAAGCCGCCTTAGCCAGAACCCTTGAAACCTTCCATTTAGGTGTATGCTGTGTCTCCGAAACACGCATACAAGATCCTACTTCAGTAATCTCCCTCCGTTCTCCAAATCCATTCT